AATTTACATTCATTAAAGGGTGTTATTTCATTTTTTAACTACTAACTGTACCTGGCATTGTAATGCCACATAAAATATAAAGAAAAACCGCGTGGGGTCAATTGGACGGAACGAAGTTTCTTTCGCTTTGTGATATTATATCTTTTATACTATAATATATTTTCATTACGATTTTTATTGAGAATAAGTAATTTACAGTTACTAGGTAAAGCTTTTGATTAAATTAGTTGGAAAAAGTCGCACATTTTTAATAATATAAATAATTCAGTTTATTTTTCGCTTTTTAGTGTTTTTAGGTAGGGAGTTGTTGCTTGATTTTTTTTTTAAATCTTTAGTATAACTAATTACTACACACTGACACCACATTACTAGTATTAGTAGCATCTACATTGCACACGTGCGAAGTCGGGGCGGATCGCTGGTAATTATACTTCATCGGCAACGGGCGGCAGGGCAGTTTTAAACTGTAAAACCGTAAAAGTAAGTATTGTAACTTTTTATAATTTTTTAAAATCATTGATCGCTATATAAAATTGCCTCCTGAACAAGTTTTACTCGAAACATATTTTTGTAAAACCAATACTTTTTAAATGACATTCGAGAACCAAAAATATTCGACCGATTTTGCAACTAAAAACAATTTTATCAATTCTAACAACTATTTTACAATTTAAAAGTATGACGCGTATCTCAGTTTTTCTAGAGACTTCAGGATGTAACTAACCTAAGCTAAGAAAAGTCTTGTTACACATTTTTCGGTCGGTCAAACTAAGTTCGTTTGAAATTCGACGCTGTGGCAGCGCTGTACGCAAGGCTGATTCTACGAATATGAGAGAATGGCACTGCAGAGCGATAAGGAAGTTCGTTCCAAAAAGCCTTAGTTACTTATATAGATTTTAGGGCCAAAAATCCTGGCGGTCGTTCCTACAATACCCTACCAAAGTTTCATCACAATCTTACTAATGGTTTCAGAACGCGAAACAAAGGATAGACATGCAAACACTATTTTTTATTTATATAGATGTTTTTCTTTGAAACGTTCCTGGAGACGCAGTGTGAAAAGAACTTAAACAGCGAAGTATGTTTAATCCACGTACAACAAGGATTAAGTAGGTTTTTGTTAATTATATTAACCTGTTTGTTTTGAAAACACGCTAAGCGGCAAAGTTCTCTCCATGTTATAGTGAAAATAGTATGCAACGTGTATAAATAGAGTTAGCCTCGCGCGGCGGCGTCTGCGAACATCGATCGCTGCGTCCTCGCCGCCATCTTGGCCCTCGTGTCTCCCTCCTGCAGCCCGCGCCCCACTCTCTTGTGTTACCCCTCACTGCCCCACATTCACAGCACCGTTTCGCACATGCTATACTACTAGCTATGTCCGCTGTTTCTAGCTAGTTGACTCAACATTTGGCCGTAAGAGTTTGCAGCTATACAAAAATAAACATCTTCAAGGAGATAATTGATTTCCGCGTTCGACTTTGCTAGATTTTCGGTATTAAAAAAGCCCAAGTCTTGAATGAAAATACTCTTCAATGTACCAACTATTACTGTTACTAATTGTGTAGAATCTACACTGTGGCAGATATGGACTGTTCTAACGCATTCAACAATAATGGAGTAAACAAGTAATATAATAAATGTATGTAATTGCATTTTTCTTAAATTAGATATTTTTAAATTAGATTTTAGTTTTGATTTAAACTTAAGTAAAATTTATAGCCACAATGTGTCTTATTCATAGAAAGAATTCAGTGCAATATTTTAATTCATCCTATGCAGTTAACAGAACCGAGAGAGAGAGCAGAGCATGCGAGGGAAGAGGGAACAGAGGTTCTCGCTTAGACATTCCTTGACATTCATCTTCTTTTCACATTCATAGAGGTCAAGGTTTAAGGGGAGATTTAGTAATTACGTAAGGGTCACCAGGGGGAACGGGGGGTTAAGAAACTCTACACATGCCCTTATGTATGGAAGGCCCATTCTTACGTAATATTTTACAAGTCGAAGTCTTTAAAGGTAATTTAAAAGTAGTCGATCATTATTTTAAAAGTGTTATTCGTTTAAAGATTGTTTAACTGATTTATGTTTTTGTTTGTCAAACCCTATACCAACCCGTTTAGCCAGCGTGGTATAGTAGGCCAAAACCTCCTTTCTAAGGATAGGCGGCCTATGTCCAGCAGTGGACTGTTATAGGCTGTCGGTGGTTGGTGGTGATGTTTGTTCACTACAAGATTATTTAAAAAACATACTTTTAACTTTATCTGATAGCAATGATAAAGTATGACCTAAATTATCTGCTAGAAAAATGTTTAATTTACGTCAACCTGTGAGGTTTAGTGTAACTGATACCTTTCTAACAACGTTTTATTCAGAAAAACGAGATTGAATTTTACATAAGAAGAGGGAGGGGGGTTCGAGAAATCTTATGTATCCTTACATTAGGGTAGGGGGGGTCAAAAATCGTCAAATCATCCTTACGTAATTAATGAATGCCCCTAAAATAGGAATAAATTTATGAGTGTGTTATTGTGTAGTATTGTAGTGTTATTTGTTGACCTAAGTTGCTAATGTTATTTAATATCTGCACCTTTTAATTGTGTTAACAAAAGAAACTGAAATAATTTAAATTTTGCCAAATACTTTGATTAATATGTATTATTTTAATTACTATCAGGTGGTTATTAATTAACTCAAGAACATCTCTTTGTTACTGTGTCTTAATAAGCATATATATAATATGTTTTTTTTAAACGATATGTTTAGTCACATATACATATAATATCAAAATATGACTCTTAGCAGCTGAGCAGTAAAAGTTTTGTTAAGTGAAATTAAATAATAAACTGGTTCTATATCGAAAATGAATCGGGGTAAACAAAATACGATTTTACTTTCTCTAAAACGCGTGAATAAATCTTGCACCACTGTGCTGTAAATAAATGATGTAGTATGATTGAGATTCCAATAAAACTAATAAACAAACGTTACGAAGCTCACAAAGACCTTGCGTCAAGTTACATGTTTACGATCACGTGTAATTATTATATATTCATCGTAACCTTCAAAAGATTGCAAACCATAAAATCTTCAAAAAGATTAAATTAACAACGTTACCTAACCATATAGGATAACCATTTGTCCTCAGGATGTATAAAAATATTAATATTTCAAACAGCTCCATGAGGATTGACTAATGACATACCAAATACTCCGCCAATACACGGTTTATTCACGTAGACGATTAAGACGATAAATGTTTATAAATTATGTATCTGTAGATATTCTCGCATGACTAAGTTTATTGTGATTTCAATAAACTTTAGTCGGTTGAAAATCTAGGGTTACTCTTATCGTTACACACGTGGACATTTTGTAGTGTGAAGAAGGTATAGTTGCCGGTAAACTAAGACGACGAAGCCGCTTAATAAAAAGGAAAATTGCTGTTTTTGTATGTAGGCAGTATGTCGATAGTCCTTACTAAAACGATCTCTACTGTTATATAAATGTCTAACTCTTCGGGTGGTTCTTACAGAAAGGACCGATTCTAATGAAATATACATTACTGGACAAATTAACAAACAAGTGGTCAATTTGACAAGAAATAGGCTGATGGGACACTATCAAACTCAACTTCCTATATGTATATTATAATCGTCACACGTACTCGCCGTATAGTAGGCCAAAACCTCCATTGGAAGAAGAGGCCTATGTCTAGCAGTCGACTGTTAAGGGCCGTTGATGATGATTGGTGATGATGACTCGCCGTGGGAATCGAAATGATAGCCAGTATAGTTCTAAGTTATTATATATTAAGTTTTATAAAGATTTTAATTTTTCTGTTACCTTTAAATCAAAGACTTCTTAAACGTATTATAAATAAGTAACAAAAAACAATCCTTCGAATTTGCAGAGTTCAATGTCGGGGTACACGTTAATCAACACAGATTGTGTTTATTTTCATATCTGTAGGTAACTTGTTTTACCTGTATGATTTGCTTATTCATAATAATGTAATACAAAATATATTATCTTGTTGCTTAACATAAATATTTTACGTAACAGTACGCCAACCGATCCAAAGGTGATTTCGCGTAGAAAAACCGGTCAGGTACGAGTCGAACTCGTGCGCTGGTACCGTACCTACCCAGATTTTACGTAGATTTTCGCGAAAATTTGTAATTACCAAAATTTATCTTAATTTTCAACTTTTTTATTTTTTGGAATAATTACTTTATATATGCTGTAAGACGTATCGTTTTGCCAAATTTCGTGATTCTAGGTCAACAGGAACTACCGTATAGGTTTTCGACCCAAAACCTATAGGGTACTTCCGGTTGACCTAGAATTGTCAATTTTGGTCAAATTGTCAAAAAATAAAATTGAAAATGAAGGTAAATTTTGGTACTTACAAATTTTTGCGAAAATGGAAATTTGCCCATATCTTTTTATAGTGTTGACTCAGGACCTTGATTTTTATACAACTAATAGGGACCATAGACCTCAGTTTCTGGTATAAATTTCAACTTGCTAGGTCTACCCGTTCCTGAGAAAATCGGTGGTAACACACGGACAAACGGACAGACAGACAGACGGACAAGAAAGTGATCTTATAAGGGTTCCTTTTTTACCTTTTGAAGTACAGTACCCTAAAAAACTAAGTCAATTTTTCAAAATATATTTGGAGTTTGTAGGAAAAGTCGGTATTCTTGGTGCTATAAATGTGAATCTTAGATTGAAATATTTTGCTGTTTTTTTTTTGTAGCACTAAAAGAAGGAAAAGTGCTTCATGTCTCATAATACAACCAGCTACGTAACTGCAACTTCATGGAACTAACAGCTATTCCCAAAAGTTCCATGTATTAAACTAGTGGAATGCAAAAGTTCCACTTGAAACTGGCTGTATGTAACTACTGGGAATAAACCTACAACTCAATTCTCCAACTTATGAGTTCGAATTAATATGTTTTACATAAGGTGTTATATTATACGCAATGTCTTACCAGGGCGACAACGGAGTCGATGGCGCGGTTGAAACGGTCGCATAGGGCTCTCATACTGTCGTAAGAGTGAGTGTCGAAGTCGCACAGGATGTTGTTTTCTAGCGCCGCCTTCATATCTGGTAGATCGTCGCACACCCATCTGTTCAAAATAAATAAACCTTGTTAAGCAATTATATGCAATATACTCATATGTGATTACAGGTTTTTGGCATTACACCAATATGACAAGATAAATCGCGAAATACGACCTTATTAACTATATATATATATATATATATATATTTTATTTTTTCTTAGTTAAAATAGAATAAAAATAGATCAAAGCCATAAGACGTTACGTAGCAATGTTACTACGTAACTTCTTATTGATTCTATGGTAAGAGAAAATGGTTTAATAAAAAAACGTAAATATTAATGTTGTTTAAATAATATTTTCCTTATAAAATTATTAGGGTGAAATAGGAGTGACAGCTTCCATGAAATGACTTTTTTATTAAAAGCTGGTACTGGTACGGTGTCCATTGCATCATCGTCGTATTGTGTTATAGGTACATATGAGAGAATACATTACGCTATTTAATACACTCGCATAAAAATCTCAGACTACTACAAACTACCAGAAAATTAAATTGATGAATAGCGAAAGTAGAAATTATTAAATTATGAATAAAAAAAGAAAGGCGCCATTATTTTGCCCTGAAGTGTACTCGTCGTACTTAAGTACGTGAAAACGAATCAGGAGTAGCGACAATATCAGTGAGCCAATCACTGGCTGACGTTATGATTTAATTGCCCCCCCTCCCCTCCCGTCCTACTTCATATCTCAAAACGGACCCAAAAATCGACTTCTGCGCAGCTGAAGGTCAGCGATCAAGATCGATGCCGGTTGGTAGAATGGATTAGTCGACGTCGATCGATCCTCAATGGTAGAATAGTTGACATCTTTCGAGCTGTTGATTATTCGAGGGTTTAAAAACGGTCGCATCCAGTCTTCTGCGATTGCGTTCCATAACAGTTTCCATAATAATAGTAAAAGCAAGAGTATACTGGCCAACAATATTTTGTTAAGTACTTTATTTCATGATTTCATTTAAAACGTTAATTTTAATATCTGCCAATGCATTGTTATTACTTAATAGCTTTAATAGCTAAAAAAGCTGTAGCCAAAAGTAAGTTTAAATCTCGGCCAACACCTTTAAACCGAGAAAAATATATTACCATCCGAAATCTCTGCAGTAAGGTTTGTAGGAAATCACAACGCCAATACATTCACAATTCGGTCGAGAACGGAGACCCGGCAAAAATTTGGAAGTTTCTCAAAACATTGGGAGTTGGTAAGTCATATTCACATTCTGATTCCAACCAAATCGACATCGAGTTGCTAAATCAACATTTCTCTTCTTCGGTTCAATTTAACCAGACCAGTAAGGCAAATACCTTACAATATCTTTCCACGCTTCCAGCTCCTAATTACCCGCCGTTCTGTTTTAATCAATTAACTGTTTGTGGTGTTAAAGAGTGTATTATGTCCATAAATTCCAATGCTGTTGGAAGCGATTGCATAAGCCGTAACATGATCCAACCAATTCTTGATGAACTATTACCTACAATATGCCATATACTAAATTACTCCCTTTTTGCCAGTACTTTTCTGGAGGCATGGAAAGAAGCACTACTTATCCCACTACCTAAAAAGAAGAATCCCGCATCCTTCTCCGAGTATCGCCCCATTTCCATATTGCCCTTCCTTTCAAAAGTCCTTGAACGTCTTGTTCACATCCAGTTAAATTCATTCCTTAATAAAAACCAACTCCTAAGTCCTCTCCAGTCAGGTTTTCGTGCGGGTCATAGTACTGCAAGTGCGTTGATCAATGTTACTGACGACATCAGGCTTGGAATGGAAAATAGAAAACTCACAGTTCTTTCCTTACTGGACTTTAGCAATGCTTTTAATAGTGTAGATTTCCACATCTTGCTGGCCATATTGCGCTCTATTAACATATCTCCAACAGTAACTGATTGGTTTCAAAGTTACCTGTTTGGTCGAAGGCAGCGTGTGCGCCTTGAAGAATCTTTTTCATCTTGGTGTAAAACGTCTGCTGGCGTCCCACAGGGTGGCGTTTTATCTCCTCTACTTTTCACTATATTTATAAACTCTATCACTAAGTCATTAGCCTCATCCTACGACCTTTATGCAGATGATTTTCAAATATATACACAAGCACCGTTACATCAATTATCTGAAGCCTTTTCAACTATTAGTCTAGACCTGGCGCGCGTGTGTGACTGGAGCAATGAGTATGGAGTTCTAGTGAATCCGTCTAAGACCCAACGTATTGTTGTGGGCAGTCCCGGGATGGTATCAAGAATAGACTGGTCACAATTACCGAATATAATGTTTAAACGGTACTGCACTACCAATGAGTACCTGTGTTAAAAATCTAGGGATTTACATTGATAATACCTTATCCTGGGGCCCCCAATTGCGAGAGGTAAGTCGAAAACTGTTTGCATCGGCGGGATCCTTGCGAAGACTACGCAATTTTCTCCCAACGGCAACTAAAATTGCGCTTGCGCAATCCCTCCTCCTTCCTATACTCGACTATGCTGATGTCAGTTATCTCGATATCATGGAGGAGCAACTCGATAAACTTGAGCGCCTTCAAAACTTTTGTATAAGATTTATATTTGGATTGCGCAAATATGATCATGTATCTGAATATCGCAATCAGCTTAAGTGGCCCAATTCGCCTTCGACGGAATGCTCATATTCTTTCCAGTATTCCATATTCTTTTCAGTATTCTATTTCATCCGTTTACTCCAACTTATTTAAAGGAACGATTTGTTTTCCTTGGTGACACACATTCAAGGTCCCTAAGGTCATCTGAATCTCTGGAACTGGCAGTACCATCACACTGTACCACGTTTTACGATAAGTCGTTTACTGTACAGGCTGTCCGACTATGGAATGCTTTGCCGATGCCTATAAAACGTGCAAAAACTTTATCTACCTTTAAAAAATGGTCAAAAAACATTACCTGTCATTTTAATTTATTATTTACAAAACATATCCTATCTAGCTATCCTACCTAGACACAGAACAACAGCGTTCAGAGGAGGATTCCGGTATAGTGCAACAAATGCTGGAATAATTTGCCACCGCCACTCCGTAACCTTGTGAGTTGTAAAACTTTTAAATCAAAAGTAAAGCTATTGCTCTTAACCGTACAAAAATCCAGCACCTTGTAATTGTAGAATTAGTCCTCGCAATGTTGCTAACATTATTTAATAAAAATTTGTTCTCTGCTCTTATATCTATTTATTTCCGACTAACTAGTTATTTGATATCTTTATTATATTAACAGAATGTATGTTGTGTAATTAATGTATGTAATTATCACTTTTATTTGTATGTTTATTGTAATTGAACTGTGCACACGTCCGTGAGGTACCTTTGGGCTTCAGCTGAAAATCAGCGCTGTGGTCACTTTTAGGGACTATAGCATAGGCTGAGTTGTGGCCCTTTAGTCACACACAGTGATCATTTTATTCTTTTGTACTTGTTTGTTTTTGTTATTGTTTGTGCTATTTTTCAGTTGAGCAAATTGTTTCTTTTCTTTTTCTCATCTATGTTATATCTGTAATCCCTTTTTTGGCTGTGTTTGTGTTGTGACTAATAAACGTATTTTCTTTCTTTTCTTTCTTTCTTTCTTATCTGCTGCATTCCTCTGCAAATGAATTTTAGAGTATATGTATTTGTGTATGTATTACAGATTCCTTATGTATTTACTTGTATTTATATAAGTAGGTATTGCTAGGACTGACTGCTGTATATAATTGACACTACTTTGTTTTGTAATTGTCAAAGGAATGCTGTTGTGCTGTATAAATATTTTTCTTTTTGTTTTTAGTTTCCTTTACACTTTTTTCTCACCAAATCTGCCCATGAAATTACCTATTTACAGTCTATTTGTCCATCCAAAGGTTGCCTGTAAGATATTGCTTTTTAGCGATAAGGCCGCCATTTGTACATTGTCATTAACTTTAAATACTATTGTATGTATAATATCCTGAATTGGTGTACAATAAATATTCTATTCTATTCTAACATAGGAGGAATACCTTACACCCAGTTGCGTACCTCCACCATACATGAGCCCTACATATAGGGGAGAGCATCAAGCTGAACCGTCTACGTCTGTTTAGAATCTAAAACGCTCGGGTATTTTAAAATGGAGATTTTTCGAATTTGCAGTTTGCATATTCGATAATTCCCTACGAGCTTGTGACACTTTAAAATCGTCAGACCTTTCAATGGACTGACTATTCAGACTGACTGGAGACTGTTTATTCACTATTAATTCTATTTAATGTGATGTAAATGTGTAATACACGATGAAAATTTGAATTACAAAATAAAATATAAGTAGTTTCAGATATAATTTACACCTTCTAAAGGTATTGCAATACTTAAAGTATTTAAAGTGTAATTCATAAGAACAGGGATCGATTTCAAGGTTACCCAACGGGTGAATGAGCGCGTCCGGACAAAAAGAGGTCATAGCGAAGGTTCTTTCACTCCGGGGCGACTTGTCTCTAATCGGTTGTACTACCATCAACTGCAAGACATGATATTATGTCTACATAGTTTATTACAACATTTTTATGTATGTTTGTATGTATATATTTATACTATTATATAGTACATACAAATTATGTTGTTGTTGTTACCACCTAGTGTATCTATGTAGTATATAACATTAAACATTAAATTATCTCATTTGCTCCTGCTACACACAGTTCTGCATCACTGAAAGGTAGAAAATGCCTATTCCATTAAATCCGCTTTATGCAACAAAACTGTAAGTAAATGACGAGTAGTTTCTGTAAGTATTTATAATAAGAATTATGCTTTAAGCATTTTATATACAAAGAAAGAGATACATCTATTGAAATTCACAAGGCTACACGCTAATTATTACTAAATACATTTTTGATTGGTTTACATTGGTTTACATAATTTATATATGTATATACATATAGAGTTGTTTTTAATTGTTAATAGGTATGTTCTTTTTAACATACACTTTCTTTTTCTTACCTAAATTCATTTTCATGTCATTTTTTAATAACAAATA